AAAAGAAAATGGCCTTGACGGGAACAAATTTAATACAGTCTGGAGCTCACCAGTCCCAGTTGACAGCGCCTGTTCATGACCATGACACCAGCACAACTCAACAATATTGTAGGGAATCGAGCAACCCACTACCCGTGCCACTGCCAATGAGACTTTTAATGAGCAGGACAACTCCAAGTTAACACAAATGCATTTTACTAGTGTAGTTTAATTTAGTTAGTTACAGGGTTCTCGCATAACATACATACATAACGTCACGCCTTTTTATCCCCGAAGGGGTAGGCAGAGGTGCACATTACAGTACTTAATGCCACTACAATGTAACAACCACTTTTCACTTTTTGTGTTATGATACCATGTAATAGGGGGTGAGCCTATTGCCATGTACCTTGCACAATTCCAGACTCCGTGCTACTACTGAGAATTTAAAAAATAATCCCAGTAATACTTTTCCCGACCATGGAAACGAACCAGAGACCCCTTGCCTGGCAGTCGCACTTGCGACAACTCGGCCACCGAGGCAGTCAGGGTTCTCGCATTTACAATAATTATATGTATAAAGTTTGACAATGTACATTTGAACAACATGGCTGTGTTATAACATGACGGAACTCATTGAAACATCAATGTTTTTCGTTATCCTGTGAAGTGGTACCAGCCTGCCTCCAATCATTTTTATCCTTTAATAATACATGGATGCATTTACAGGTTAATCGAAGATTAAAAAAATATATTGTTTTTGTTGTCTTGTCTTATTTAATTTTTAATAATTTATTACTCAATTGTGGCCAAAGGTATGCGATCTCAGTTTTACAAAGGTTAAATATTTTACCTGTCATTACATATAATAGGTTATAATGTGTACCTTTTTTTATAACGCGATGGAAATCCTTATGGACTTCCCACGCCGTGGGGACGATAGGAGGTGTGCTGGACTCTTACCGGCTAAAACCACCGCGGTGTTCCTCCTCTGCCTGCGGCCGTGACCCTTAACGCCCTTGCGGATTCACCGTACCAGGCAGGCCTCCAAGAAGCGACTCCATCCCATGCACTCTTACTGTCAACCATCGCTCGCACTACGGTCGGCTATGAGAGGTCATTACCGCCGAGCACTGTAATGAGTTCGCGACGCAGCTCTGCCCATATAGAACACTCTTCGAGCGTATGCCGCGCCGAATCCTCCAAATTGTCATTACAGTGATAACACGACGTCAAATAATGTGTACCTAAGTTTTGCACGGCCTCCTAAAATTAAGATTGCGAGGAATAAAAAGGTATGAAGTTATTTATGTTTTATGATTCCATTTAATATTAAACAAGTGACCTGTCAACGCCGGCCGCGGGCCACACAGGCAGTCACAAACCTTCAGGCATAGGATTTCTGAAATGCATAGGCGAGTTTCAATTTGAGGCTAGACTTACAACTATATTATACTATATTAACATTTTTCTTTATTTTCTTAAAAAATACTCACACTGTTATAGGGCCAATATATTACAATAATATAAACTCTACGACAAAAAACTAGCTTACTAGCGTATTTAATTTACTAAAGACTTACAATATTTGTAACTTTCGTAAGACATACTAAATAAATTATTATGTTTTCGGCTTACTCATGATTATGAACCTCTAGCATGGCTAGTCGAGTATCTCGTCAAATTATTACGTGAGTAAGCCGAAAACATAATAATGTATTAAAGACGTACAATATTTATCATGTTTACTCACCCAGTTTTAATAAAGTTGTGCCATATTTCTCGCATTATCCTTTTCATTTTCATAAATTCTGGAGTCGCTTTTGATTAATCTGGTTGTCCAAAATTTGTACCATCAGCTACAGCTATCGATTGATCACAATGGTTAGCACCTCTAATATTGGTGTGTGGTACTATTGGTGTGCTCTCTTCTACAAAAGAGTATTCATACAAATATATTTGATTATTGCCTGCTTCCACCTTGTAATTTAGTTGCCCAAAGCATTGCTTTAGTAAATAATACATCGGAGAAGCAGTTAATGCACCCTTTGATGGTCTCTTCACTGACCGGCTTCTCACCAAAGTAAAATTGTTTAATTTTTGTAGCGACTTCTTCTCTATCCTCCTCAGATTTAAATTCTAAGTCAGCTGGCAAGAAGTCAGAAAATTTTGTTTTTTTAGAAGTCAGAAAACACTATAACTATGAACCTAGTATTGAAGAGTGTAATACCATTTATTTACCATTATAATTTAAAACATAGTCATGTTTTACAAAACTTACATGTGTATATAGGTAACGTCTTCATATTGGATTCTACAACTTTTACGCCAATCAAACAAATAACTTTTTGCTCCAAATGGCTAGTTCTAACACAATTCGTACCATTTTTTTATTGGTCGTCCTCTCAGGCAAGGCCCAAAAAAAGAAGATCTTTGTCAAGCACTTCGCTATTGCTGCCAACCTACTTAAACAAAACGCTCAGTCTATTGTCTGAGACATTAGTAATTACTTATGAACATGTTAACTACATAATCAAATGTTTTATTAACAACTACAATACCTCTAGAGTAATTTCACAACAAATATACGAAATTTGCGTTAGAGGGCCCTATTTTGTTTTCATGAGTTTATATTGACCAGATTTGCAATGTATTAAAAAAAGACAAATTACAAGTACCCTTAACCGATGAGCATGCATGAAAAGACTGAGGACTGTTGATGAAACTAAAGAAGTAAGTAAGAATCGTAGCAATTGGCGGTTCATAATCTCTACCTACCCCCATGGGAGACAGGCGTGAGGCTACATATGTATGTATGTATGGAAAAGTCTGATTAGATAA